GATCATTCTCCCAAGGAGTTAAATGCAAGAGATGTTCAGACTACTTTCTAAAGTCCAACCTTTTTTTTTTTCTTCTAATGAGGTATGCTGAGTAAAATTAGCAAATTTCTTGATCTTAAGTGACCACAGTAGTGCCAGCTCCCTGCTACAGTAAATGCCTGAGCTCCAGTTCACCTCTCTGCAGTCCTAAGTATGTTTGAAGATGAGAAATGGCAACATGGGAGAGGTCACAACTGCACAGCAAAGAACATGGAAACATTAATATGTTAATGAATGTCATATGACAATGAAAATACATATTTTATTAAGACAGGGCATTGAAAAACTTTCAAGTTATCTTGCCTGAAAACAGGGAAACATTGGAATATATAACTAAGTACATTTTGGAAACAAAGCTGTATATCACATCTGGGCCATGTGTTTCAAGCAAACCATTAGCCTGCCAGTTGTTTTAGCTATGCCTGTATTCATGATGCTGAGCATTTAGCAAGGAACCCTTAAATGACTCTCTCAACAAGACAGGTGATTTCAGAATGCACATGTGCAAAGGCAGACACTGCAAGGTTCTATTTCTGTATGCAGATCATCCTGGCACAGAACAATGGCCTGCTGTGGTAATTCTATATTTTGTTATCTTAAAGCAGCTGCTTTCCTGAATGTAATCCCATTAAAAACCCACAATATGACCCTACAGCAATAACTTAAGGGGAAAGGCCGACTAAGTGAAACTGTCCAGAGGAAAAACGATTTCAAAAATATCATATAGACTACCATCAGCTTGATACAAGCAGCACAGTGTGAGAAAACAGTCTGGAAGGGAAAATACCAAAGGGTGGGCTGACCAGATGATTTATGCTGAACTGAACAGAGGAGACTTGGGTTTAGCCTCAAAGCTTGAAATCTCACCCAGGGACTAGGGATTGTCAGGAGGATGAAGGGTCTGCTGCATCATCCTCATTTAATGATGTACGTTTCACAAAAGGAGGTTTCTGAAGAAACAGCATTACACAGACATAATGCTGCTGCAGGCCAGCAAGTAAATCATAAGCTAGACAGTGGAAAGTACAGGGATTTGGAACCATGTGGCTTCAGCATAAAGGTCATCCTCAGCAAAGCAGAGTGCTTAGCGAGAGTCTGGAAAGCACCTAGAAAACATGTCAAAGCAAGTTACAAACTCCTGACTGAATCTGCTAAAACCCAATCACGTAAGTCCCTAATCAGGTAAGCAGGCTCAACAATTTCAGTGAATAACTGGAATGGATTTAATCTTGTATCTTCAGATCCAGATATTCAGTAAGTTAAAATAAATTACAAGGAGTCCCCAAATAAGAAAGCGTAGCTAAAGCCTAAATAATATATTCAAAACCAATCAGAAAAGCTGAAGAAAGTATATCAAGCCAGGAGAAGGGAATGCAATTAAGCATGGCTGAAGTAAACACCACTTCAGCAACCCTGTCAAACCAGCTCTTCATGGCAGAAGCTTGCTCAGTCCAGCAGATCCCCTGCAATGGCACTCCATGGTTGTGAAAAGAAACCACTCAGCAGAGTCAGGCAGCTTCCTGCAGACTTTCCCAAACCACACTGGCTCCTGTCCTCTGCTCCTGTCCTATTTAGCTGATTGCTCCTGTCCAGCCTCCCACAGAAAAGACAGGATCTGTGGGCCACTGCATTGATTGCTTTGGCTACTCCCACATACCTGATGGGAAGCTCTTATGGCCAGGACTGACTCACATCATGTCCCCCTGACGCCTCTGGTTCTGGGCTGATTGTTATGGCATCCTTGTGACAAACAATACTTCAACCCTCCCCACATTTCTGCCTCTGGCACAACTGATATGAAGAAATTTGGTTTCTCAATGCAGAACTGGAGCAGCAGGCTCAAGTCTGAATGAACTATTCAGAAACATGGCAGCTACAGTTCCCATGCAAAAGCCAGAAATATGCTGTGAAAAACAGCCGTGCTCCCAAACCCTCACAACAAAAACATAATGTGCTCTTTTCAACTAGGAAAAGAGGAAAAGGGCTTCACCTAATAGAAAAACAGAAAGGACCAATCAGTTGAAGGTGGAGACAGATTTGTAGACACGTATACTGGCTCTTGCCAGGAAAATACTTTTCCACAAAGCTGGTGAACGTTTGTTCACTGTGTTCATGAATACTGCACAGCTGTGCTACAACAGGAGTGCAAGCCCAACACTTCCATAATTGATAAGGGGTTTTTCTAGTGATTCACCAAAAAGAATTAAACAAAGTAAAAACATGGCCAAAATTAGCACTGCTGTCATGACAAGAACTAATGCAAATCCTGACTAAATCAAATAAAAGTCACAGTATAAAAATCCCCCACACAAGAATTCTGTAGATTATTTGAGCTTGTATTCTGAGGGATTCTGTCAAAAGCAATCTTTCTCTACTATAATCATCACTGAAAATAACTTTTCAGTAGAGTATATATGATATAAGTCCATGATGATCAGAAGGAAAAATCTCTGCAGATGGGATGTTTCTGGTATTTGCAGTGACAATGATGTTTTTCAACCATTATTTCCTCAACCCACAGGTGTTTCTCTGTCTTGTGTGACATCATCCAAAAGACACAAAACAAGCCAGTGACCTTTTTATGTACCAACAGCTGCTTATTGCCAGCTAGCAAGATCATTTCTACAAAATGCAGAGCAGACTTTATATCCATTCTCAGCATCAAGAACTGCAGTGATCCTCTTAGGATAGCAAGACCCACTCTATATGGAGAAAAGGTGCTAAAATTACTCTAAAAGCCTCTCAGTAAAAATTTATGAATTTGGAAAGGGCTAAAAAATATTTCAGATTTGGAGTAAACAACAGTCTCTTCATTGCCCTCTATGTTTCCAAGATTCTATTCTCCATTTATTTTGTACTATCTCAGCTTAAACAATGAATATGGCAGGTTCACTTTCAAGAATATCTTGCCTTCTACATCCCAGAAGCTTAGGAAGATTTATAAGAAGGAAAAGGTTTGCATCTGAAACTTCCCATGGTCTACAGAAGTGGATTATTGAGCTTTGGTGAACAGGGAGAGAGCTGCCATTTCTATCTTACTGCCAAATCCAGTTAGTTGCTAAGGGATTATGTTGTCCAACCCAAAGTTTCTGGACATCTCACTTGCTTCCTCAGCAGACACAGAGGATTTTGAGACAATCTCCTTTCTTCTTAAGTAAAATGCTTAGGAGGGAAATATCTCACAGGAATAAATATCATGACCTTCCACATCTGTAAAGTCACACCAGAATTGATTTAAAAAGTTCATGGCTGAAGTTTTTGCCAGTTCTTTATTTATACAATGTATGCTATTCCAACTACAATTATATCTTGAACAGCAATAACAAAATTGGAATCTTTGGCTATTTAAGAGGAAGGGGACCAGTTACTGCAAATTATTGAAAATATTTTTTTCTAGGCTGTTCATGCAACAATGACATCTGAGACTGTGCAAACTAAAATGTCTTCAGAAAGAGATTAAGGAGCTATAGTAACCACTGCACAAATAGTAGTTACTGGGGTGGTTCCAGTGCAAAATAACCTCACAGCTCTGTCCTAACATAACATGAGTGCATAGGCCAAGGTTTCTTCATCAGTTCAAAAGACAAAAACAGGAACAAAAAATCCACTTCTGTAAAACATGCATTTGCAACTAAAATTCAAGTTAAAAGAGGTCATTGTCACATGGGAAGCTGTAAAAATGCTTAATTTATCAACAAGCCTTTTCAAAGATTGATTATCTATCTTCTCTGCAAAACACAAGGATTTCATTTGCTGTTGGAGAAATGAGCTAATAGAACTTTTTTCTTTAAAGACCTGAGAGCAAGCTATTTTATTATAATACTACGATAACTTCTATGTGACTACTACCCTGAAAGTTCAATTTTTTTTAAATTAAAAAAAAAAGAGAATCCCCTCTATAAATTAGGTATCAATTCTTTTCCAATATTCAAAATCAAAGGTACTTCTCATAAGCTTGAATCCAAAATTTACAGGTTTTGCTATAAATTTTTCTTACATGTGTTGTGCTCTGTTTCTGTATACTCCTGGTTACTTATCTGCTAAATGGAACATAAAATTATTTTTAAAAATTCAGACAGTAGCATTATATACAAATCCTAATAATTCTTCCTCCAAAATAGACAGATGTGGATGTTTTCCTATGTGTAGTATTGAAAATTTAGGTGAGTACTTTTGATTTCAAAATAACCTGGACAGTGCACTATGAATTTCAGAAGTACTAAGACATTTTGAAAATCCAGTAAAACATTTAAGGCAGGTGATTTTAAACAGTGTATAAACAACCCAACTGCAGAGACTTTTTACACACAAACCATATTTGAAAATAAGAGGCACATGCTGCTGTAAAAATTAAAAAACAGAACAAATAACTCTCATAAACTAAATAATCTTAGGTTAACAACATTGCTTAAAAGCCCTCTGCTAAACCAAGTTTACCCAGAACTTCAGCCACTAGAGAGGATTCTTACATGGACCAGTTTTTATTATTTCTAATAATAAAAAATAACTGTGCAGTAAAGTACAGCCATAAATTAGTGTGAAACTAGGATAAGCCTTCAAATGCACATTGTAGTTTACAGTGATTCAGAACACTTACTCAAGTTTGTATCAACAGATTATCTTAGCAGTGAACAGAGGAGACCTTCTATGCAGGTTCTCAATAACAAGTTTCACATTTAGGTATTAATTTTATCTGTGATTTCAATAGCACAAAATCACAGCTTTTACAAAAGCAGTGGGTTGCTTCAGTTCGCCACTGTATTCTCACTTTCTTTGCTCCTCCAAAGCATACAATCTTTTCCTTCTGATTGCCAACAAAGTTGAAACCTGCCACCATATCACAGTATGAGTCTGTTTATGAATCTGGTTTTCTTCCCTTATAGTCCAAACACTCGTCTTGGGTACCTACTATAAATTTTTAAGGTATGACATTATAATTTACATTTAAACATAGTACTTACGGTTGGCATAGTTTTACCAGGTCCTGATCAGTGGTGTTTGGAGGCAGTGCTCTGATGTAAAGGTTAGTTTTACTTAATTGATCCCATCCTGAGTTGCTGCTGCTACTACTGTTGTTATTACTGCTGGTGGTGCTGGGACTAGGAGGAGCCATTGGGTGGGCTGGTACAATGGACTGCTGCAAAGGAAAAAGCAGGTTAGAGTGAAGTTCAGGTAGCAACCACAGCATGCACATCAGCTACAGCAACCTGCTTCCCATTTGGAGCACTGTGTTCAATCTGTTCCTAACTACCCACGGATTTTAAATGCAACTGCTTTCACACCACATTTGGGACAGGATTCACAGGCACATCCTAATATCTCCAACCACTACTTGATGCATGACACAGGGTCAAATTATATATAACCTCCACTGAATATTACTCATAGGATTTTATCACTCTTCATTGTGTCATCTCATGTGAAAATGAAATAGGAACTGTTGTTCCTCTAGGTTCCAGCAAGTACAGTTTATATCACAATGACTGTCTCATATGTCAAATTGTGGCAGGCACAAAGACCATGCTCTTTCCTTAATCTATCAAAAATACAAAAAATAATTAGAAGCTTCTATCTCTTCTGGCTTTTAGTGCATCATATAATACTGCTATTATTTTTTAGAGATAGAGAAGGGCACAGATAGCTTAAGGAAAATATTTTAAATGAATGGTGTGCCTTGGGAGAACTTTCATACCTACTGTCTGTCTCCATATTTGTGGATTACTTCACAATTATCAAGAAAAAGGTTCTATATAATGGTAAAAAATTCAAGTTTCAAAAGAAGAAAAGCACATAACCACTTCTACCTACCCCTCAAGGTATCTAACACTATTGGTCTTAAAATCAGACCCCAATGGAACATAAAACATCCTAGAGGAAATCTGCAGTAGAGAAATCATTTGCATTAAGAGTAATATAGCAGGGCACTGTACAAAAAGTACTATGAACCTGTCTGTGGTGTTGTAAGAGAGGAATACTCCAAAAAATACAGAACTGAAGTTGCCTGTAAGCATCTTCTGACTACATGGTTTTCACTGACAAAGTAGCTGCATGTGGCTCCTTTCCTGCAAAAGCCTGAGCTTCCACCACAAACTCATAGCAAAGAACTGCCCTGTGAATACAGAGGAAAGGCACAGGAGGGGGAAAAATCAAACGGAATATAAAGTGAGATGTCAATGTAGACTCACTTGTACCCACCATAGTGCCACCCTCTTCCTTGGATTAGTACAAACAGTTGTATGGCCACAAACTGAACCAAAAAATGATCTTCCCTGATCTGGTACACCACACGTGGGCTTTGCATTACACAAAAGCTTTGGCTGTCACACGGCAGGGAGCAGGAATGTGAAGGCAGAGAGGAAAGGATTAGAGTTTACTTCTGTTTAAAGCACCCATTGAAACTACCTACAAGAAATGTGAAACTATCTTGGAGATAACCTCAAGAAATTGGAATAGAAGTGTGAGTGGGAGAAAAGTACAAAGGCATGCCTTATATCAGATACTTTATGGTAATTATGTGTTTCTTTTTTGTGTTTCCCTAGGAAGATTTTGAAATCCTCCAATTTGGCATGTTGCAGTTTATTATGCAGCCATAATGGCCTGGAACAGCCAACTGCAAGACTTGCTATAAAATCAACATTGATAAGCAGTAACATTGTTACTGCCTAATTTAATTGAACTGAAAATTATAAAAAAGAATTAAATACATTCCTGATAATTTAGCATTTCAAAACTGAGTATCAATATTTCATTGACATAGGGTTTGAGATTTTTTTTTTTTGTTTTGGTTGTTTTTAAAAAAGATTTTTAGAAACATCAAATGTCTTCCAAAATATTTATATTTGGAATTGAAGTACTGATCTAGAATTTCTTCCAGGGAAAAAGATTAAATGCTCCCTTCCAAGTTTGCAATGGAAACACTGACAGATTTTAACAATAGCAGCACAAGTCAGTCTGTCAGACCACTCTTCTTCCAGTAATGCCAGGCATTATTTTTAGGGTTACAACCAATGCAGAATGACAGAGCAACTAGTTTCAAAACATTTTCACAGCAGAACAAACTTAGTCTGGCACAGTGAAATTTTCTTCAAAAAGCCTTCAGTGAAGTTCCCAAAATGCAAACAGTGATCAAATGCAAGACTGCTCTGTTTACAGTTTCAAATGTGCACGTACAGCTGCCAGAAAAATCAACATATACATACCTGTGTTCATCTAAACTGGTTTATTTGTAAACTACAACTGAAGGCTAAGAGCCTCTATTAAGTTTTTCAGTATCTTTGGTTTGGTCTTGCTTGTATTTCTTACAGTGGTTTTCCCTTAAAATTTTTGTTTTTCTTTGTTATGATGAACTGGAGTTTTGTAAAATCTTGTCACCAGCTGGCCAAAGGCAGGAGAGGAAAATGTGTGTCTGTGTGTAGAGAGCGCAGGAATCCTAATTCTGTCTGTAAAACATAAACACTCAGTTTTGAGAAATTTAAACTTCGATTTAAACATGAAGACGTTCCAGTGCCAGTGGTCACATTTGAACATGATGGGAATGTAAATGGGACTATAGTTGTCTTCCTAAGTTTACAGACAGAAGGTTTTTCAGTGCTTCCAGAGAGACTCAAACCTTCACAAGCCTTAAAGGCTTTACAGAACACATGTGCTGGGTGTCCTGCAGCTCTCAAAGCCTGCAATCCAACGACAGCCAGCCATTAAAGGGACAGTGACATCTTAAAGCCATACAACTAGAGCATGTTTTTTACATTAAAACTTTAATTTTAAAAACTGAATCACTTTTTCCGCTCTGTTCCTCATTGACAGCTACTTATAAAAACTAAATTATAGAGGTCCCTCTGTTGTTCAAAGGGGCTTTTTTTCCAGTTGCTCTTGCTGCAGAGGGTTGGTTGGCAGTGCAGCCACGACGCCGTGGCCGCGCTGGCGGAGCCTCCTACGCTGACAGCGCAGGCCAGGAGAAGAGTTTGTCTGCTGGCGTAGTTGCATCACCTCCCCAAACAACATCAGCCAAGCCGATAAAAGCTCTCTTCTGCCTGCACAGCTGCATCCACACCTGGGCTTTTGCCAACATATTGATGTCAGCGGGGATGTATGACTTTTTTCCACACCCCTGGCTGATACACAGTGCTTTGCTGGCAAGACATTCTGCAGAGGAGACCTGGCCAAAGTTTAGGGTTGTTTGTTTAGAAACAGCTTTCACAAACCTTAACTGAGTGCTCTGTCTAAAACCTGAAATCAAATTTGAGAAGTTTTCATTTACAAACTAGTTTCTGCTAAAAGTTCATATCAAAAGCTGCTCTTAAGTTTTTACTATATGGACCTCACAATAATTTGCAATATTATAACACACAAAAATACATTAATCAGTTTTTCTTCATAATCATTGCACCTTAAAACATGGAACTCAAGGATAGGAGGAATGCATGTAAGCAACAGAACATTATTTCTTGTGACAATATTCCTGTTCACAAGAATTACCATGGTCACACTGGTTTGCCATTTCCTCCTTAGTTTTCACTCCAAGAGGTAATTAGCAATCTTTCTATTTACACAGCAGTTTCCTTCCTGTCATCTTCCACAAACATCTAAGAAAAAAGGCCAGTGACAGAAAAACCAGCCCATCTGCTCTATGATCTCCCCAGCCCATTCTGGAGCCAGCTGTGAGGAGCCTGCTCTGAAGGACCTTCCCTCCAGCCCTCCACAGCCCCACCACAGCAATGGGAAAACCACAGGTACTTATTAGGAAAACAAAAAGCTTACTGACTAACAGTCTCCATGAAGTGCCTTAAAACAAGGAGAATAGTCTGCCTGTGTTTCATTCTCAATATGAACCCCAAATGGGAATAATTGCAAGTACTGAAAACTAGCTGGAGAATATACTCATATGAGCCATTCCTGTCTTTCTTATAAACCATTCTATGCTTAAGGACTGCAAGTAAATCAGAGCAGGATTTTATCTCCCTAGGAACAGAAGAATCTCTTTGCTGTCAACATACAAAAAAAAAACCAAACCAGAATGTACTAACCCCAAGAAATTCCTTTGACCTGGGGGTTGAGAGATACCAATCCCTGCTGCCTTCAGACTATGGAATTCCAACAGAACTTCAATGAGCCTAAGATAATTTGGATAATGACTGTCCCCACACAGAGTATGATCACTACAGAAGCACTCCATTTAAGTCTCTAATTTTGTGCAATAAAAGATGCTTATTAAATTATATAACACGCTAGCATTTCATTATGAGTTTTATCACTCAGCCAAAATTCCTAATGGGAAAAGTACCATGACTTTTAACAACCGAGTTCTCACACATCTACTCTAAAGTCAAACCATAAATTGCAGCATACATTAACTATAAGATTTATCCAGAATTGCTACTTGGATCATCTCATAGTATCAAAATCTCACCAGCAGTGTTTCCCTAGCTTTGCTCAGGTGCTTAAGCTACAAGTACCTGCTTACCCTGCCTGACTTTGCCTAACCCTCCTGATTTTGAAAGCAGCACCTTCAATGATATAAAAATTACCAGACATTTTCTGTGGATGTATGCAACAGCGAAAAAAAAAAAAGTATTAAATCTGAATTTATTTTTTGTTAAACTGGGAGTTGCTTGTTTATTTATTAATCTACCTAACACTTTAGGTTAGAGAGAGCTTTACAATGAAAGCAAGGGCTCAGGAGAATAGAAGATGCCATACCTAGTGAAGCAAGACACTGCAACATTTTGTGTGCAGTTTAGGAAATAAGAACTCATTTGGAATTAAATCATGTCCCTAGCAAAAAGAAGAATTCCAAAGTGTTAAACAGAAATGAGTGCTCATGGATGAAGATGGTTGCTTTATTACCTTTCTTTAAATAAGGAAACATTAAACCTTGATCACTTATTCTAAGCCAGCAGATCACTTATTCTAAGACAGCTGCAGCGGAGATGCCATTTTGAGTGTCCTGCACTATTCTGTTTCATGTTTTTCCTCATCATGTCTGAAACACTACAGCAAGCAAAACTGAATTTCTGGAGGCCTCTCCAAGTTCAATTCTCAGTGGACATGAGTCAACCAGCAGAAATCGAAAGCTTTGCTGCTGCTTTACTCACATCTCCTGCCTTAGGGTAGCTTCTCCAACTGTTCTTCTTTAGTCTG